TGCGAGTAGAGCCTATTTGGATCTACTATCCATACAATTCTTATTTATTTTTTTCCTGCTAAAACAGAGTTGAATGTGTGGTGTGGGTATGGATATATTATTTTCGAACACACCCACGCCCACACCGCACATCCCACACCCACCCACACCCACACCCACACCCACACCCACACCCATACCCCGTGTCGCTGCAAGTGTTGCTTACAAACATGAAGAAGGAGAAACAAGAAAAATGTCATCATAAAAATAACTTCAAATCAGAAAATGTGAATAATAATATAAATTGCAGTAAAAACAACTGGCTCTGGTCAAAACTCTTCTGGCTTTGAAGACTCAACATTTCGGAGAAGTTTCATTCTACATAATTGTGGTCATGATGTTACATTTTACTAATAGGCAGTTCAATTTTTAAACTGAATCGCTGAAGTTTCATTTTGGTGAGACTCACTCAGTTAATTCGACCGCCTATCGTCGATTTTAAGTTTTATTGCTACTGAGAGTGATCCTACTGAATTAGCGCTAAGCACACATTCTTTTCGCAGAATATTTATGAAGATTTAAAAGCGAGTTCTCGAGACCCCACATCAATTTTATTAGCAGCTGGTCGCTAGTAAAATTTTGATTTTTAATTTAGGTATCTCAAACGACAAACCATTATTCAGAACTTCTAAATTCAAAATACTAGGTTTTTCTAACTTGCCTGTGAAAAATACCAAAGTATACTATTGGCATACGTTCAACGTTTAGTTAAAAAATGCTTTTTAGGGTGTTCTCGGTATTTTCCAATAGGCTCTGGATCCCCTCAGCCACTCCAGTTTGGAAACGACTCAACAGACACACCCATATTTTTCTACAAAATTAAGCAACTTATGGAGTTCTAGAAGCCAGTTTGCGCTTGATGCTAATATACCTTTTAATTTACAACTGTGTTGTAGTGCTTCAGAGGGTGTGTGTGTGGATATTGTTTTATCTCACACTCACATCCACGTACCGAATCATAAAGAAGCGTCTTCTTCGTAAACCTTGAAGTTATATTGGTTCTTAGCCAAAGTAATTAAGTAAAATAAACATACTGAATATGAAAAAAAAATCATCGGTGAAGCCGAAAATTAGCAATGATATCATTTTCTTAAAAAGTGATGCGAACTAGTCTTTCCATTAATTTTACTAATTATAATTTTATCGATTTTATCTGATTCTAAATTCATCCAGCTATTAAAAATTCTGTTTCAGCATTTGTTATTATGCTAGTTGTGGAATATTATTGAAATGTAAAAATCGTCGATATCAACATTCAAGTTTCACGTCAATACGGTAATGCATTTATCATAACAACACAACAAGAAATAAGATATAGAAATAAACAAATTCATTTCAATCATTTCTTAACAATAAACTATCGAACGATTTTCTTCAATATTTAATCTAAATATTTTTAAACTTTCTAAAAATAAAATATATTTGTTTTCATGAAAATTTAAAATTCAGTTTTTCCTCCATCAACTTTGTTTTTGCTCAGAACATTGAATATAATATATAGTAGCAGATCAGTGAAACAAAAACACAATCTTTGAAAATTATCATGACGTGAAGCTATTTTAAAAGAATTATAAGAATGTTTTTTTCATACGCAGTCAACTCTGCGATAATCACACCTATTCATAGAGTTTAAATTAGACAATAAAAATTAAAAAAATTGTTTTTTTTGCATAAATAGATTCATTCTAAAATAAAATACGTTATTCGTTATTTCGATTGAATAAATTTAATTTCACATTAGAAGAGAAATTAACTTTGGATTGTAGGATGTAGATCAAGGTAATTTTAACAAGATCATTCTTAAGAGATGCTATGAATGTCATGTAGTTCTTTCACAAATAATTTTTTGTCGAGTTTTCTCTTCGTATTTCAATGTTTAGAGATACGAAAATCTATGAAAAGAGAAATAGTGAAATTGTACTTGCATACGATTATCTCGATAATTAAGAGGTAGACATGACCATTAAAGAATTTCACTTTGAAACCTAAGTTTATTATTATGAGAAAGTTTAGAATAAACATGACATCTTTTAATTCTAAAATTTATATTATTTCCTTGCAAATTTGCAGGATTAGTATTGAAAGCTTCAAAGCAACTAGAATGTTGAAAGAAAAACAAGTAGACAGAATAAATGACATTAGTTGATAGCATTCATTAAATATTTTATTTTTAGAATTATGATAAGTTTTAAATAGTATGTCATATCTCGTATGACTTTACTGTTCATTGAACTAAATAGGACAAATTTCTTCGATGAATGTTGACATCTTGAAGGTTATATTTTTATAAACAAACTAAAGAAGTTTTGTTTCGGGCGACCAGTTTCCATAGCGATACAAATATTCTGCACATTTTCTATTTTCTTAGTAATATCATGCAAGATCATATTGTTTTCTTTGCTTGATACTTAAAGATATATGAAGTTCGTTATATTCTCTTATCCAATTATGTTAATTGATTTTCATAAGTAGTCCATTGGTTATCGACTCTTCGTTTTATATAACTAATGTCAAATGAACACATGCTCGCACATAACACAATCATATTTTCTATTTAGTGCTTTGCTTACAAAAGTGTTAGTGCAATTTTTTATCAAAAATGACTAAAAAAGGAATCCTTTCATTATAAACGATGTTGCAGAGATCGCACAAATTCAAGATTGATTTGACTACTCATAAGACCTATTTGAAGAATGGCTGAAATAATTTGTCAGGTTCCAATGGAGATTGTCGATAGTTGACGACAAAAAGACGAAGAAGCTACTGGAAATTTGGGAGCGGGCATAACAGAAAATTTTTTAAAGAGAGGAGTTCAAACTAGCGATAGCGGCGCTAGGATTTTTGATCTGGAGGAAGGGGGTTGGGTCCTCTACTTAGATTTTTTGGGGGGGCTCAAACAGTTTTCTGAAGGGACTCAGTTTTTTTATAAATAGAAACTTTGACAAAATCTGGAGGTGGGGGTTCAACTATTTTCCGTGACGCCGCCACTAGTTCAAACCGTTCTTTTTCTGCACTCGATGAATTTTAAATTGTTGGATTCGAACTTATTTGAGTGATCATTTGTGAGTCTCTTTTACACTTGAAACAATTCGAAAGGGAATTTGCATATTCAGCTCAGATTCATCCTACACTAGCCACTCAAAATACCCCTAGACAGAATAAAATCTGATCTATTTCATTTTAAAAGATCTTGGACACGTCACTGGATTGAGGTATGAATTTATGGACTTGTTCTCATAAAAACTATTCTTTACACAGCAGTGATTCGACATGAGAAAAATTTACCGATTAGAATAATTTCAAAAATAGAATGAATGCAAAATACGATTATAAAATTAGATTAAATACCATATTTTTCTATTTTCTATTCATAACTGTTCAATCAATTGTTCAGAAGTATAAAAGTCTGATTTTTTCATATATGAAAACTAGAACAGTTCCGATCATTTATATCACTTATTAGTGATATTATGAGAAAATGATACACCTGGAGCGCTACTGTTGACACATGCTTGGTGCTTTTCTTATCAACATCTTTGTCATCTTATATCAATCTTCATTTTTAATTCATTATTTCTGAAAAAAATGCGTGCAAAAAAAGTATTTTTCTTAGATTGTTGGAATGCAACCCACAATGGAAGCATTATGTCGATTTGAATAATTTTTTCATAATCTTTGTTTTTCTCGTAGATTCATCCATGCAACGTTTTCTTGACTGAGAGTAATTTTGTTTTGAAATAATTGATGAATTAATGTTCTCTTTCGAAAAAAGTATGATTATATTCACGATGGATTAGCTTAGAACATTATTTCGAAAAAAGCCTTTTCTCAGATATACAATAATGTAAATACACATTTTGAAGTTATAGACGAGAAGCAAATACCATTCTAACTGACATTACGAATTAGTTTACATGGAAGAAACTTTCATTACATTATTTTCCTTATAAAACCTCTTTTTAACAGAAAATGAATGATAACAATCTAGCGGAATATAAAACAATTAAGAATTCATTCTAGAATTTTCGATTGGCCACTTTTTTTCTCTAGCATAAGATGCGAGAAATGATGGGAAGTGTGATTTTCTCAAAATTTTGTTACACTAAGAACCATCAAAAATAATGAGTGTCTCGGTCTTCCAATCTATCATATATTTTTCAGATTATAAGAAAGAGTTTTAGAAACTTTAATTCACTTGTGACTGCCTACAATCTTGAGATCAATGACCATTTTTGTAGCAGAAGCCGACAGTGAATTCATGAAAGCAACGCATTGAATAATCGTGCCTTCTCCATTGTAAAAGTAGGAAAGAAGCTTGCACCTCCTGACGAAATATTTGAAGAATGTATTATTGTGGCTTAGAGCTCAAATTCCTCCCTAAGAAAGTTTCCACACATACATTTTATGGTTTAATGAAACTGACCATCGCTGGATTACAACCTTCTTCTTTTCGGTTATTGGCCGAACTTTCTATTTCGTTTACTGCTTTTCCTTGGAAATTTTCCATTTTTGTCTCATTGATAGTAACCGTTCGCTTATTTCACCTCCTCCGTCGATTCGATCCCATTGCGCTTTCGTTCAAGTTTTCCGTCACATCTCTTCGGAAATTTCTCGATCTGCTCCTAGTAGAAATGATCGGTTTCTTGTCTGTCATGCGTCAGCATGTGTTCATCTCATTATTCTACGACTTGATGAATCGAAAATCGATTCACACTACTTATAATTTAATAAAAAATTGAAATATCAAAAACAAAATATTACTTTTATTCATTCTCTTAATCCCCACTTACTGAATCCCCTAAAATTGTTCAATCTCGAGATTCACTAAATTGATGCTACCTATTATTCGTTCAATAAAATGAAGTTTCAATTGACGTCTTTAATTCCAATGATGTTAACTTAGGATCTTCATTCCTACTTCCATATGAATTTAGTTTTAGATTATTTTAAAACTTGCAATAATGTCTGACAGTCAAGGTTCGAATGATTCGGGCAACAGTTCATCTGACGGCAGCTTCGATAGCCTGCCACCATTCGTTGCTCGCTTTTGGATTCTTCTTCCACCCGAAATTGCATCTACATTATGCACATTCATTGTTCTCTTTTATATTTTTACTAATCGAAAAGCACGTTCAAGCATAAAGAATCATGTGCTCGTCATTTTGCTTCTTCTTGGTTTGGCTATTCAATTAATTGATGTACCTTTCTATCTCAACTACATTGTACATTCTACTGTTGTTCCAACACATCCATCAACTTGTCTAATTTGGTATTTCGTCGATGTTGGTTTGTACAATGGAGCACTCATTCTGATGACTTGGATGGCTTTTGAACGACATATTATCGTATTCCATGATCAATGGATATCAACAAGAAAAAAACGAATAATCATACATTATATACCATTATCTTCTATAATCTTATATATTTTTATTTATTACATATATGTTTATTATTTTTATCCATGTGAAAATGTTTATGATTATACATCCATGTATTGTGGTTACTCCGCCTGTTATCTAGAAAACGAAAATTTGTATGGGTGGGATATATTTGCTAATAGCGTCTTACCATCCATACTCGAACCATTTATTACATTGAGTTTCCTTTTTCGAGTTCTCTGGCAGAAATATCGTTCACGTCAACTAGTTCGATGGCGTAAAAAGCGAAAAATAACAATTCAGCTCATGGCACTGTCAGTTCCGAATTTCTTTCTAAACTTTCCCCTCAATGTTTTGTATATTGCTCACGTATGTGGTATACCGTCGTACATCGGAGCTGATGTTGTATCGTACATTTATTTTCTGTGCTATTTCATTACTTTTATATTTTCTTTCACTTGCTTTGTCTCGGTAGTTGATGTAAAGAAAATATTTCTAGAAAAAATACTACGCCGACAACCACAACCATTTGCACGATTCGCAGCGACAGTTAAACCGGAAGGCAATCGAACAATTATGACCACTCAGGTTTAACTTAAGCATTTTAAAATTCAATGTTAGTTTTGGTTTCAAAAATGACCAATGCTTTGGTGAACAATTCGACATTGTTGTATTCCTTTGATGTTGCATTTTGCTTGAAAATAAACTTAAACTATTCATGATTATCACATACAATGAGTAGTAAAATCTCTAATAACTATCATGATTCAGGAAATGATTGCTATGAAGGATGTGGATGTGGGCTGTGTATAAGAAATTTTGCTTTTGATTCAAAGCGAAATATGACGTGTTTCGATTGTTGCTCAAACAATAAGAATCAGGTATCTTTAGAATCTATATAGTACATGGTGAGCAATAAAAACAATAAACAACTCCTATATATTCAAACGGTGTAGGTGTGAGGGTGTGGGTGAGTATGTTCTAGCTAGCCGTAACTCGTTTCAACCTTGCTAAAGGGTCTCATCAAATGGCTTAATCTATCCTAAAGATTCAAAACTATGCAATTCAATCTCTAGGATAGATTAAGCCATCTGATGAGACCCTTTAGCAAGGTTGACACCGGTCATGGGAGCTAGTTGCACACCTGCTCTTTCAATTAATGATGATGATGATGATATTAATAAATTTGAAGATTGTATTATTAGTGACTAGTGAGAACCCGTGCATATTGCACGACAGCGTGTTTTTCTTTAACGTATGACCTGAAAACTCTAACCTTTTATTCGGTAACAGACACATAGACACTCAACATTATGTATATAGAAGCTCTACGACGTGATATTCTTATATTGATAATACCCCATCTAGCTTTACTATCTTATAGCCTTACCACTTGTAGCCTAACCCTCTTAAAGCGCTCTCCTCTTATAGAATTTCTTCCTAATCGCCTTACCCCCTTATTGTCTTACTGTCTTATTCCCTTAGTCTTTTATACTCTTACCCTCTTATAGCGTGACCCCTTTATAGCATTATTCCCTTATTGCCTTATTGCCTTACTTCGTTATAGCTTTAATCCCCTATAGTGTTTCCCACTTATAGTCTTTTCCTCCGTATAGGCTTGCCTCGTTATAGACTTATCTTCTTGTTGCCTTACTCCTTTAAAGTCATCCCCTCTTATAGCCTTATTCGACATTTGATCCTTAACTGTCTTACAATTGTCTTACTCCCTTTAGGGCTTATGGGTGCTCCGATATAATAGCCCTCGAGTAGACTTATGGCTACCCACCATAGGATGGCCCTGGAGGACTTACGGGTGCTCCAATATAGTGGCCCTTCAGAGCTATGGGCACCCCTATCGGACGGCCGCTAAGGGTACTCCCATACAATGTCGGTTGAAGACCTGTGGGTACCTGTTAGGTAGTGGCGCTATCTGCGACCACTACCTCTACTATTTGTCTCATGCTGTCCATTGATCATTAGACTAACTTATGTTCTTTCACTCTCCTTTTTTTATATAAAAAAGAGTAGTTGTTGTTGTAGAGTTGTTTTAAAGCTGTTCAAATAGCTCAAGTTGTTTGTTATGAAGAAATAAAGATATTAGTTAGAGTAACAGTCTAACAATTGGTGCCGTGGCCCGGGAACCTCTCTCACACGAACGGGGGAGGTGTTAGCGTCAGTGATGATACATACTGACGCTAGACGGAGATTGAGCTGGTCCTTCTAGTCTAACTGGATTAGGACATCTGCCCGGATAGCAGAAGGTGTGGGTTCGATCCCCACGAAGGTCACTTTTTCTCCGTTCTGTTTCTTTCCTTTCCTTTCCTTTCCTTTCCTCCGAGCCAGGCTAACAAATGGTGCCGTGATCCGTCGTGATACATTTCGACCACAATTCGTCGAACACGAGAAATTTTTTTTTTTTTTTTTTCTTTCCTCTAGTGAAGTTTTTTTTCCTGGTGCTCCTCATTCGGTTTATTTTTCTGGTTTATCAAGATTTAGCCTTGCTCCTGATATTGTGATCTCAATTATTATTAAAATTTCGTTTATGGTGATAACTCGTACACGTTACAAAGACCTTTTTCAACAAGAAGCTCAACGATTATCCGATATTGATTTTGATCAAATTCATTGTTTAGAAATTTATATTAATTCTATTGTTCATCATCCTGTTTTTGTATCAAATATGGAGGAACAATTTATGAACACGTTAGCTAAAGAACAGATTAGAACACTTGTTAAATTTAGTGGTGTTCCTCATGAAGATGTTGTTAAATGGTTAAATGATGTTGAAATTGTATTCGATCGAGCACAACTACAAAGTTCGAATAAATATTTAGCCATTCAATCATATTTAACTGAAGCAGCAGAAAAATGGTTTCGATATAACAAATCTACTATTTCGGACTGGTGTACATTTAAACTTGAGCTTGTTAAAGCTTATCAACCATCACTCAATCAAATATTGTTAAAAATGGAACAACGACGACAATCACCACAGGAATCCGTACTTGAATATTATGTTGATAAACTTCAATTATGTTTACAAGCTGATCCAAGTATGAGCTCTGCAATTATTATTCATCATTTAACAAAAGGTTTAAATAGTTCATTAATTCCACATGTAATTCGTCGTCATCCTGCTACTCCTTCTGAATTTCTCATGGTTGCTCAAGATGAAGAAAAAATTCAGCTTACATTAAATGGTTTAGCATATGGTTCAACACACCCACAAAATATCGATTTAAATGATGGTGATACTGTTGATGAAACAGTTACACTTGTACAACGACCCACTAAAATGCATTCAAGTACCTCAAATACTCATCACCATCAAATGCAATCACCACCTCTTATGCAGTCAACATCTGCTTCACAACAATCATCGTCTTCACATCGTCCGTACTATTCTCAATATCCATTTACATCAATCGATTCTCGTCAATGTTATCAATGTTATCGATTCGGACATATTGCCAAAAATTGTCCGCATCGAAAAAACATTTAAGGAGGTATCGAGATGGTGATACCTCGACAATAAATACAAAACCATTCGCCCCTTATTCATCATCAATTAAAGTTCCTGTTAATAATGTTATAACCCATATTCTAGTGGATACAGGCGCTGCTATATCACTTATACATGAAGATGCATTAAAACTAATGCAGCATAGTCCAATAGTTCCCGGTTCTTTAAATGAAGTCCACACAGCTAATAGTGGATTTATATCACTTATTGGATTAGTACGCCTTAATGTTAAAATTAATCATATTAATACCAAGGTTGATACATATGTTACTAGTGATTTAATTTGCTCAATGATATTAGGAAGAGATTGGATTGAACAGAATCGTGTTACTATTAGTTTCTCCACTAATCTTATTTATATTCATGGTGATGTTACTTCTGTTCCGTTACTACCTATTCCACGTCATGAGCCCTTAACTATGCTTCTACAACGTTCTATTATTATTCCACCATTTCATGAAAAATTTGTTTGCGGGTATGTACCAATTAAATCATCAAATGATGTTATTTTTGCACCGAATTTAGCATTACAGCATAGTAAACTCGTTCTCATTCCGCATGCTGTTCTTCATATTCGTAATTATCATGGTATTATCTCAATCACGAACAATACAAAGCGTGAAAAGATTATTCCAAGAAATACTTCACTTGGACTTATTTCACAATCAACCGAACAATTTAACATCAATACTATTCACGAACAGACATTGAACTATCGTAGTTTTTCCTCTATTCATCCCCCTTTATTTTCATGTACTCATTGTGATATTCGTTTTTGTAATGAAACTGAACTTTATCAACACCTCATCATTTGTTGTAATAAACATTTAATATGCAAAAATAAAATCATTGAAACATTAGTTGAACATATAAAAAATTCTACCCAACGTATGAAAGCTTATTTAATACTTCACCAATATGAACACCTTTTCGATGATTCATGTATCCAAGGAATTAATTGTCCACCTCAATGTGCTATTGATACTGGTGGTCATCCTCCTCTAGCTACACATCCCCGTCGTATATCACCCACCAACAGACAAATTATCAATGATGAAGTTAAAAAAATGTTAGATAATGGGATCATTAGTCCTTCTAACTCACCTTGGGCTTCCCCAGTTGTTATTGTTAAGAAACGAGATGGATCTCCCCGATTTTGTATTGATTATAGGAATCTCAATTCTATCACCAAAAAAGATGTTTATCCATTACCACGTATTGATGACGTTATTGAACGTTTAAATGGTTCCGAAATTTTTTCAAAACTTGATTTACGTAGTGGATATTTTCAAGTACCATTAGCTATTGAAGAACGTAATAAAACTGCATTTATTACTCATGATGGGTTATGGCATTTTAATCGTTTGCCACAAGGTTTAAAAAATTCTCCATCAGTCTTTCAAAGATTAATGAATCAAACACTTGCATCATTACGTTGGGATGTATGTCTTGCCTACTTAGACGATATTGTTGTTTATTCGCGTTCTTTTAAGCAACACCTGATGGATATTGAAAAAGTCTGTCGGGTACTACATATGTCAAACTTTAAGTTAAATTACAAAAAATGTTCATTTTTTCAACATGAAATTTCTTTCTTGGGACATAAGATTAGTGCCGTTGGTTGTTCTCCTAACGATGATAATATTCGTGCTATTTCACAATTTCCAGTACCTAAATCAAGTAAAGCTGTCCATTCGTTTTTACAAATGGTTGGTTTTTATAGGAAATTTATCTCTCAGTTTGCCCAAATTTCAGCTTCACTCAACAAATTTACTCGAAAAGGTTTTCCCTTTATTTGGACCGAAACAGAACAAGCATCTTTTAACCAACTAAAAGATGCAATTACATCTCCAACAGTACTTGTATTACCTGACCCCTCGCAACCCTATATAATTCGAACAGATGCATCGCATGTTGGTATTGGCGCAGTCCTTTTACAGAAACAAATTAGTGACGTTAACGATGCATCAACTACTTTTATCTATAAACCAGTTGCGTTCGCTTCACGAAGTTTAAAACCTGCTGAAAAACGTTATTCCACTATTGAATTAGAAGCACTAGCCATATGGTGGAGTGTTACTCAAAAATTTCGTACTTATGTTGAAGGGCAACAGTTCACTCTTGAGACGGATCACAAACCGTTGCTTTCATTAATGAAGAAACCATATCATAATACTCGTATTGAACGTTGGATGACAACATTACAAGAATATGATATGATCGTTCAGCATATCTCTGGAAAAGATAATACTATTGCCGATGCTTTGTCTCGTTATCCAGTTGATAAACTGGATACTAATTGTTATGATGCCCCGAATTTCGTGAACTCTTCAACTCAAACTGAAAATGTTCTGATCAATGTCGTCACCACACGTTCAATGAAAAAAAAACACCTCTCTTCCTCTGATCATCCAATTCAACAAGCAACAAAACCATCCATATCTACTACACCGACAACACCAACCAAAACCACATCATCAGCTTCATCAGAAAAAACAGTACCCGTATTTTTCGATAATGATACATTAAATCAACATCAGAATCAAGATTCTCATATACAACTAATTAAAAATACCCGTCCGTTACCTTCTAATTATGCTATGGATGATCATAACGTTCTTCATAAAATTGTTAATCGTAAATTTGGTCGACGGATTAACCTTCGTTATGTTCCTGCTTCTTTAATTCGCGATGTTCTATTAGCCTATCATAACTCAACATTTAATGGTGCTCATTTTGGTATTAAACGAACTTTTTATAAAATCCGTGATCGCTTTTATTGGCCGAACATGTACAAAGATATTGAACAACACATATTATCATGTCTTAATTGTCGGAAAAATAAACCTTCTCGTCGTAAACCGGATGGACACTTACAATCGATTGAACCTCCCCGTGGTGTGTGGGAACGTCTAGCTATGGATTATGTTGGACCGGTACCTCAATCTAAGTCTGGTAAGAAATATATTATCGTTCTTACAGATCTTTTCTCCAAATTCGTAGTAACCAAAGCCGTTTATGATAATACTTCAACAACAGCTGCTCGATTTTTATTATATGATGTATTTATGATTTATGGCGTCCCATTAGAAATTATCACAGATAATGGTCGCCACTTCACATCATCATTGTACAAATCCTTACTCAAATTAGCTGATTGTTGTCATATAAAAACTACGCCGTACAATCCACAGGCTAACGGTCAATGTGAACGTCATAATGCCACATTAGTACCTAATTTAGTTGCACTTTCTAATAATTCTCGGTCCAATTGGGATGAAAAATTATTACCAACGACATTTAATTATAATGCAACTCAACATGCTACAACAGGCTATACACCGTTTGAATTAATGTTCGCTCGTATTCCTCGATTTATAGCTGATCTAACTTCGAGCCCCATATTTCCTATAGACGTTCAACATTATCATGACGCAATGAAACAATTTATTGAACACGCAAAACTTGCAACTAGACACAACAACCTGACACATCAACATGTAGCTAAACAACGATATGACCGTAATCGTTCAAATCCCCAATATTTAATTGGTCAAAACGTTTTAATCCGTAATCGTGATCCGTCTATCAATAAATTCTCCTCCAAATTTATTGGTCCATACAAAATTATTGATAAGCTTAACGACAAAACATATATGGTACAGCATGCTAACACAGATCATCGAGCACAAGTAACGGTACAAGATCTGAGATCGATTAATTAAATGTCACCGTTAATTATGCAACTTGAACTTCAATAGTCACAGATTTTTTTCCACATGTAGTTCATTCAACTTCCATTTTTTCTTTTTACGTGCTACTTTCTCGTTTAGTACTACATATTTTTTGGTTTATCTTCCTGTTCAGTCTTATTTTACTGTTTTGTTATTTGTTGTTTACCTGTGCATTTTCGTGAACAGGTAAATCTGTTCACTTGTAATGGGTGGAGGTGTTAGGTAGTGGCGCTATCTGCGACCACTACCTCTACTATTTGTCTCATGCTGTCCATTGGTCATTAGACTAACTTATGTTCTTTCACTCTCCTTTTTTTATATAAAAAAGAGTAGTTGTTGTTGTAGAGTTGTTCTAAAGCTGTTCAAATAGCTCAAGTTGTTTGTTATGAAGAAATAAAGATATTAGTTAGAGTAACAGTCTAACAGTACCCCAACATAATGCCTCTTGAGAACCTATGGGTACCTCCATATAATGGCTACGGCCTGGCCCGGCCCAGGCCCAGCGCAAAATTTTTTTTAAGAAGCATTTTATGCAGAATTGATCTTAAAGATCAACAACATGCTTCGAAAGAAAATTTTGCATAGCACACCATAGATTAATTTATGAATTTAATGACATCAGATCATTGAAATCATAACGTAAAGATAAATAAATAAGTACAACGATCGTAAGAAACTATATCAATAGATTGTGCATATTAAAAAGCTGTTGGTTTACTGTTGTCTAATAATATTTCGAAAGAAATGGCTGTAATAAAAGTTTTTGATCATTACTCGATTTGATGACACATAAACTTTTATACACGAAAGAATTAGAATTTCGTCGGGCCGGGCGGTCCGTTTCGAGCCCTGATGTCTACTACAGATTTGAAATCTTTTGTGAAAGAATGGAACCCTGCTATAAGAATACTTTTTTCAGTGATTTTATGAGGTAATATAATTTTTGATGGATCTCATCTATATTTCAATCTTTTTTCATTCAAAATTATACCAAAATGAAGAGAAAAAAATTCTCTTTCAGAATCACTAGTCGCAGGAATTTCAAAAGAGATAATTAGTAAAAAAATCTGCGATGATCCGAATTACCCCATATGGAGTAATTCAGATCAGCTCGCTACCGCGTCTGCCATTTTGACTGATACTTTTTCTCAGTGCATGATTTTTCGGAGATTCTTTCGCTAGTAGACAAAAGACACTTGGAACTACTTATGCTCCAAAACTCACTGCGAAATTAGAAAAAATGTCTGAGAACGAGCGAAAATAAAACAAATTTTTGATGATTGTGATCCGAATTACCTCAGAGGACTCTATATCTTCGTCATTCGCATGACTTCCAATATCACTTGAAACTTTTCGCTGATATTCTTCTAAATGGCTGGATGATCGTGGCTCCTGTTCCATTACTGGTATCCATGTTTGTAAGAGCAGGAATTTTTTGCTGTTACTATGAACGATTCGAATGCTACTTGAAGCTTTCAATCCTCATTCTGGCAAGTTGGTGTACTCCGCAAAGTTTTTCTGAATTACTTCTATGGATTTCTCTGTGGCTCTGAGGTTCTCACCACCACCTCGCTAAGAAAGCGGTGAAATGGTTCAGATTTTGCACTCCGACTTCGAAGTACGAGCATACAGCCCAAAACGTTTTCGTTGGAGTTCCATTCATTGTTAATTGGCACGAAGATGTTTAGTCTACAGTCTGGCACATGGCCGTGTACCTTTGAGTTTATTGGTCCTTAATGTTCGACAATAACACAAGTAGCCATGGCTGTCTCTCTAGCTCCGTAGCATTAGTTAGGGAAGGGAAGCTTTGTGCACTCAGTTTTACGGATTTCGTCATGACTAGAAGCTTTTCGTCTTTGTTGTCACGTATTGCGCTGTCATTTGCAGGTTTCGACTTTCATGTGAGTAGATTGGTTCGCGACTGAAAGTTTTCTCACTGTTATTCTTACACACTCACAGCTTACAATTGTGTTCGAGGTCTTTTTACTGCTTAAGATCATAAAATTTTACAGTTACATTGTATTCGTTTCCGCTTCTTATCTCTCTAATAACTAAAATTCATGAGTAGAGTGAAAGAAAAATAGAAATAGACTGTTCTCAGTATCTTGATGCTAAGTAAATAACATTCAAAATGGTTTCTTTTGCTTTTTGTACCTTTCTTATAATTTACTCACCACTATCAAGTAATTGAAGTCGAAAATTTCTAATTAAAATTGATAATATATCGTTATTGATAGAGTTATTTTGCGTCTTACACTGCTGGCTTTTTTTTTTGAATGATTCGTATCTTGCTTTTGTAACGTGTCAAACCTTTATCTTTCGAGGCTGTTTATGTTTGCTTTCTCTCTTTTTTTTTAAAATTTTTGTCAAATAAGCTCTCTTTGAGAAGTTCTGCACATAGCAGCAATAAAACATTCTCGGAAAGAGAAGATGACGAGTGACGACAAATAAGGAAAAAAAGCATACTTGTTCAATGAAATTCATGTCAAATGTAGTAAAGAAATCAATGCTCATTTCTGTACAATGTGATATAGATCTCTATTCGATGATTCAATCACTGATAGTTAACAGAGTAGGACTGTTCTAAAAAAAGTTCTTGCATTTTATTTCATGTTGAAATCGATAAAACTTATATTATCATCAACATGAGATAATATTTTTTTCAGATGGTATAAAGATTGATAATTTTAAGTATAATTCATTTTTCAATTTATATATCTATTTCAGAAGATTCGACATTTCATTGCATCTATCAATAAAAAAGAAGAAAAAGAAAAACATTCAACTTGTTCATTCGAAGTTGCACTTCAAAAATGTTAACATTTCCCAAGAAATATTTAGAACAAAAATTAGTTTATTTTTTACCGAAGTCTCATGAAAAAAAAAACAATCTTTTAAGATAGTCTAATGTAAATGCAAAAACCGAAATGCTAGGTATGGGCTACTTTAAATTCTGGTAGATATACAATGAATACCAAAATTTATTCAACAACTTTTATTTTCAATTGTTCTCCATTGTTGTAACCGTTTAGAAAGATTCCGAATAGTAATTTGAGTAGTGGAAACTGTTTCTAACAGGAGCATAAGAAAATAAAAATTATTATTAAATGTTTAAGGACAAACGCTCCACAAAACCAAAATCTTAGTTTTTCAGTAACTGAAACGTGTACTTATAATTGTATTATTCCAATAATTTGTCATGATCGAAAGATGCTGTTTCAGATGAAATTAAACTCGAAAGAAATCACCAACGATTTTTTCCATAATTCAATGCAATACACACAGAAACATTTAAAGTCAAAACTTATTTTGTTGAACAGACAATTGAACATTATCAGAATATGAGTATAGCTTTATATAAATAAAATTAATTGTTGCTAGAAGAATCAGTATATTAGAGTTGTAGTCTGTCCAGTTGAGAACTATTTTATAGATTTGCCATTTTTTGTCTGCTAAAACTTTTTGAAGACAAATTTGAATACTCTTGTCAAAATAATTAACCAGTGTTGTTTCAAAAATTATGTTTGATTTTCTTCTGCTCGTCCACATTTTTTCATTTCTTTACACGATGCAATCAAAACTGTGTTACTTTAGTTAAAAGTATCTGATACATGTTTTGCTGAAGATCAAACATAGATTTGGATTGTCGTAAGAAAAGAAACGTTAGGTCTGTTTGTAAAGGTTCAGTGCGAAAATTCAAAATTCGAAATGTATCAATCAGTTGATGGATAAATTACGCTATTTTTCATGCTATATATAGATATCTCGCAGATTTATCTTTGAAAAATTGAACAGATATAAACGACTAAAATATGAGGTTTCTTTTTAGAGACTTATAAAAATCTTAGCGACGAAAGGAAAATGAATGTTTTTTTAAGCTATTTCTGCTAACTAATTAATAATGACCCAACAAGCTAGCCACTTTTTGCCGGTTTTCACAGGTCTAAGAACTTTCTTGAACCGGTTGGATCGGGTTGGTCTACCATTTTGATGAGCCGAACCGAACTAGTAGAAAACTTCTAGACTGGTTAAAACTTCGGGTCAGTCCCTATTTTTATTATTGGTAAGCTTATAAGTGAACTAAGAATCCGGTTCATTACAATATAAATATTCAATAAAATACAAACGTAAAAATCTGTAGGTAGTCAGAAGGAAATTTTGCCCCTAAGACCAATTTATCACCGAAAAAAACTTTATGAACTGATCTGTTTTAACCGGTCTATTATTTCTTCAGCGGTTACAATTCTGATCCATCTAGAAAAACTGCTAACAAAATATAAAAGCAAATTAATAATACAATCGTATTATTTGATTTAGTTAGAATTTGTTGAGAGAGATAAAGAGTTGTGGAATGAAAAAATATACAAGTTTCCATGTTAATTTTTTAAAAATAATTATTAAAAACACTGAATACATGTTCAATAATAAAGAAACATATTGACTCTGTTATTACATATTTGACAAGTGTTAGTTTTGTAAAATCTTTGATAAATATTTTTTATAATGCGTCGATCTGAATCCAATAACAATCACTGGTGTGGATAAAACAAAGTAATGTATCAGCAAAAAATACTTTCCGCAAGATACTAATATAGAATTGTTAATGAAGAAAGTTATTAGTAAACGAATGGAACATATTCCGATTTTCGATGAAATCTTAATTAACATTTTATTCCACATAACGGTTCCAGACGAGCCACTAATGAAACAATGATTGAAATAGAGTATTGGTGTCTGGGATATATCAAGACTATCAGTCGGTCAATCAAACACACTCTCCTTGGAAATGACGTTTTAGTCACATCAGTAACCATTGGAAGAAGAAAGACTTGAAAAACAAATTCTGCTGAAAATATTCCATGAACCTGATGTAGTTTCACGAACAAACATCGTATAGAGATGGAAGACGTCTCATTTTGTAGAAAACTGTTTGTTCTATCATTACGTGTAGCGGGAATAAATTTTACATACGCTTTGTAGGTACTATTCTG